CCCTCCATACCATTTCCAAACTCTGATGTGGCCCTAAGGCCAAAAGCTTTGCCCACCCCTGACCTCGGAGGAAGGAGGCCTAAGAGAAAGACAGCAGAGCATCCCTCAGGCCACCTCTTATTCAGAAGTGTCTGTTTGAAGAATTGAGTGTAGTCAAAGTAGAATAAACTTATTAATTTTACATAAATAAATAATATGTAAATATGTATGTAGAGAAATGTTTGATGATATAATTTGTTTGCAATATGTAATTCCTACTCAGACCCTTCCCTCACATTAGCCTTAGGTCCCTCATAACCTTAATCCAGCTCTGACTCTAGAAGTTGCCCCCGCTCTGCTGCTGGGAATGTGGAAGCCCCGGCAGGGGGATCAGGGAGATGCAGCAGGGGAGGATGCAGAAAAGCAGCGAGATAGACCAGAGAACCCAAGGGGACTGTCTGTGACTCCATGTTCAGGCTATTCTAGTGCTTGAGTGTTCTCACTTGATACCTAGTAGGTGAAATCTAAATACAGGACACACAACCAGTGGGAGGTCTGTGCCCTGGTTTATAACTGTTTGCCTGAGGTTGGTACTCACGTTTGTGAGCTGCTGTACACAGCTTGATGGGAGAACTGAACATGGGTCTCCCATGTGCCAGCTGAGTGCTCTCACCGAGGGGCTAAAAGTTATAAGGCAGGTGATAGCACCAAAACCACCCCTCCTTCTCTCCCCGTCTCCTGTGGAGTGAGGCAGGTGCCTGCCTCATTCCAGCAAGAAACGCCTTAGGCGCCTGAGCCACCTGACATCAGGCGCTGGGTTCCCGTCTGTGGGTTGCTAAGCAGACATAGATGCCCCTCTGCAGCCCTGATTTAGGCACCTGTCTGTGAGAGGGGGCAGGGATTAGGACACCGCTCCCCCTCATCGCCTCTCCCATTGGCTAGCTTAGATGGTTTCCCGCCTAGTGAGCTGTCTTTTGTGAATTGCACTGTAAGGTGCCTGTGATGCCCATGCATTGTCTAGGGAGTTTAGGCCCCTCATTCAGCTTTGCAGAGTTGCAGACGATGATTTTCTAGTTGCCTACAAATTAAGCCCTGTGATGCTCAGCATTGCAACACCAAGTCATGGATTGCAACCTGTGCAACCAGTCTCCTCTCCGCAGAGCACAGCTGAGCAATTCCTGATTGACATGGGTGTGCACAGGACACAGACAGCACAGGCTGGAGAGTGACACATCACAGTAAAACCCAAACTCTCCTCCTAGGAGCGCAATATTTCCTGTGGAGACTGGGGGGACACAACCAAGTCACAAAGGAAATCCCAGGACTCTGCCCCCAGCACCTGCAGCTGGGACAGTAAAGTGGAACAAACACAAAGAATTGTTTGTAATGTTTTATTTACAGTAAGTAACTAAAGGTCCTAAGTAAACAGAGCCGAGATGGAGCCTTAATAACCACAGCATGGCAAGGAGATTCCCCAGCTACTGAGAACAGTTTTCTTAATGGCACTAAAATAGCTCCAATGGGCAGGAATTAATATAGAGAATTAATGAGATACAGTCTCACTTTCAGTAATATGGTTTTTCCATCAATCTGCACCTCTTACCCATCCCCCACCCTGTGTGTGTGTGTGACCATTACAGTGTTACCAGTTGTCCTGAAGTGATTTTGGCCCTTGCAGCAGGAGCTCTGGCTGGGAGACCCCAGTGAGATCTAATCCCACAGATCTGTACAAACTGCTCCCTCCTGCTGCTTCTCCCCAACCCCCAAAACCCTGATTGATCAATGATGTGCCCCTGCACCCCCACCTCCGCCTGTCCCCAGACCGGCTGTTAGTTCTGCCCCTCAGAGCCCCTCTGCCACCCCCCCGCAGCCCCAGGGGTTCTTCCCCCTCCCATCCCTGGGACTGCAGGGAAGGGGAGGGGCTTCCACAGGTCATAGAGGTGAGGAGCCAGGGGCTGGGTAGAGAGGAGTCCTCCAAGGTCATAGAGACTGGGGTGTGTGAGGCTAGAGAGGCTGATTTCTGGTTTCCCCCTCTGCTGTGTATCTCAGGGATGTTGGTGTCACTAGGCATAACCCTAGGTAACTCGGGAGGGTGGAAGACCACGAGTGTCGATGAAGCCTTCCTGCACTAGGCCTAAATGAACCAAAGTCCTTCCATGTTTAAACTCTAATCGACCTCAAAAGCCAGGTGCAGAAATTGGAATGTGTAACGGGCAGTTATCAGTTGCAACACCGCTCATACCGGTACAAAGCGGTAATAATGAGGCCTGCATGTTTCTGGCTGAAGGGAAAATAACAGTTCAAAGGGAAAGAAACAAGATAACAATTCAAAGAAGAGTTACTAACAAGCTAGCCTTATAGCCGCCAAGATGACTTAACTGCTACAAGGGAAGGGAGGGGGGAAGAGGGAAGAGCTTAGCTACAAAATGTATAAAAAGAGAAAAGCTGCTTATGATGGTGTGGTTGATCTGAGACGTGTAAGTCTCCTTCAACCGCTCTGACATCTCAAATAAACTTTGATTGCTTCTCCACCCTGGTGTGTTCATTGGCGGGAAGCACATCAGGCAACGAAACCCGCTGTTGCTCTCCTCGGGCCCTCTATGCTGGCAATAGGGACACAGTCTGAGCTGGGATTCCCCCCACACCTGGAGCCAGGGTCGGATTCTCTCCCCAGGGACGGAGCCCGGCGGGAAAGTGAAGATCGGGGCCTCGTCACCAGAATCGATAAATGTCACCTGCCCCCGGTCACAGTCCAGACAAACCCGGATCTTGCTGGGGACCCGGCTCAGGGGCAGGGGGGTCACAGGGGAGGTGAGAGCCCGGAACTGATCCCAGTCCCGCTCCACAGCCCAGATTCCCCCCTCAGGGCTACGGCTGATCCGTCCCTTCCTCCCCACAGACTCTCTGGCCACCCCCACAGACCAGTATCGCCCATCCACCACCTCCACCTCCCAGCAATGTCTCCCTGAGGTGAATCCCTCACAGCCCAGCACACAGAACTCAGTGTCAAATCTCTCAGGGTTGTCGGGCAGATCCTGCCGTGTGTCTCCCCATCTCACGCTTTTTCGATCCTCAGACAGGACGAGTTGGGGATGAGCCGTGTCTGGATCCAGAGTCACATTCACTGAGGAGAGAGAATCAGAGTGTTGGGGGCAGAGCTCAGCCCTGGGGGAGGGTTTGATGGTGTCAGTGACAGAATCTGCCCCAGCTGGAGAGTGACTCAGGGAATCTCCTTCCTCCAGGATTTACCCATCAGCTCTGAGATCTCAGCAGAGGGCTAGGGAGAGTCAATCCCCTGGCAGAGATGGGTCAGTGATAGGGTGAAAGTATTGGCTGGGCCAGGCCTGAGACTCAGAATCTTTCCCCTCCTGCCCCCACCTCTCCCCAGGAAGGGGACTAGAGACTTTGGGAGCCCCAGCAGATGGTAAAACTCAGTGAACATTGACAGAGCTCCCCTCCCCCTCCCACCTT